TCATGGGGCTGAATTTCTGAAAGTTACACTCAAGTTTCAGCAGTCTCACGTTTTTTTCAGGAGGAGCTTGGCAGTAATGCAACTCCACAACTAAAAACTGAGAGAAAATAAAAACTCTTTGACTTCAGAGGCTTTGAGGTGTGCACACACACACCCACCCCCCCCCAGGCTGAGCTGACGTCCCCTCAGTCGAGCCTCGTTCTTGGTGGGCTTGTTTGTCATCAGTTGCCGCTTCTGCTGCTGATGTGACCCCGTCTGCAGCTCATTACAGCATGCCACCTGTTTGTCCCGAAGCTATCGGCAGGACACGCACACAAATAGAGTTTGCCTGAAGTGACGGGGGGTTAATATAACAGGAGTGTCCGTGGTGGAACTGTCTGCACAGACTGTCAAGTCCCCACGGAGTCAATGGTTTCCTTTGTCCTTTGGGACCGTCTCTCTGTTGCCTCAGGGTTTGGGACCAGTCAGACAGGTGGACGGTTAGTGAGCTTTTCAGACGGTGTGGAAGACACAACAAAGGGAAATAAACAGGCTGGGGCTCTTGGAGCTCACAGTTTTCCTGGCAGCTGACAAGTTTAACTACTTCAACCTTTCAGAGGCGGTGCAGGCGCAGACACATGTTGCAAACTGCACCGTCAGCTGTTTTTAAACTTCAAATCAAAGCCAAAAAAAAAGACACTTGGATGGACATTCAGCTGCTTGTTCCTTATTCATTCATGACTTTATCTTTAACAGCAGTTATATTAGACTAAGAGATGTCCTAGGAGGTTAAAGAGAGTTTGTGTCATTTATTCATTCTTCTGCAATTTAGTTTTGCAGAAGGTGTTGATGTAAACCTGAAGATGGCAGCTGAACAGGACACTGTCTGAGTCTGCTGTCATCGTCCTCCAACAGAGCGCAATTTGCAGAAAATTAAAAGACACAAATAACTGAAAACCAATTTGGTTCATACTTGGAAATCCCCTCTCGTCAGCTGCCCTGGAGGTGTCTTCTGTTGCTTTGTGTGTCAGGATGTGGACAGCTTCTCATGTCTGACTCAGGGGAACGCAAGTGTGATGACAGCAGCCGAACGGGACATAGAAAGTCAAACAACAGCAAATGGACACACACTTTGAACACTTGAACTGGATCTGCAGCCTCCTGTCCTGAACAACCAGGCCCAGGGATGAGGGAACAGAACCTTACAAACACTCTGTACTGGGTGGCTGTGGCTGCGTGGTTAGAGCAGTCGTCCTCCAATGTGAGAGTTGGAGGTTCGAATCCACCAGCAGTCACATGTCGAAGTGTCCCTGGGCAAGACACTGAACCCCTCATAGCCTCTGATGTGTCCCATCAGTGTATGAATGTGATAAAGCTCTGATTAGTCTCATTAGAAAGATTTGTTCAATTAGCTTTGTAGAGATCTAGTAGAGTGCTGTATGAATGGGTAAATGAGGGCACAGATTTTAGTGTAAAACGCATTGAGTATCTTGAAATAAGATAGAAAGGCGCTATATAAGTACAGTCCATTTACCATTTACCATTTATCTTTTTTAGACAGAGAGGCGCTGTATAAGTACAGTCCATTTACCATGTGCTCATACTGTATGTGGTCAGGCAGCACAGCCAGCCTTAAAGTCAGGGTTATATATAAGAGTTAAGTGCCGTCAGTAGGGCAATGTGTCAGATTTGCAATTTTAGTTATAAAAATTCTAAATGTCACAGTTTAAATGTTGTTTAAGATGTTTAGGCAAAATCCTGTACCTCATTGGCCTGCAAGTACTGAAAAATAGTTTGATGACAACTTTTCTACATGGCCTTTCCAAAATGTCTCAAAACGTTTGCTGGGGTTCTCACTTAGGCAGGGGCTAGCTCGCTTGTTGCAGGAATTTAAAACATGTTTAAAATCTTTTTGAAACCAGTTTTCTTTCAAAACTGTCTGAGTCAGCGTGGGTGTTTATAAATTACATTGAAACCTTCTCAGTGTATTTTCCAGGAGTTTGACAACACACAGGAAACCAAATGACTGACTGGAAACAAAAAAGAGAATAAATTGCATTCAAACTGAGACATGTTTGAGACACTTATTGAACAAATCAGAACTGCTAATTTTGCACACCATTCAGAGGAATGTTGCACAAATGCTGCAATTTATTTATTAAAATTAGCATATTTCTTCAAACAGTTATCAACAGTCACAGTGAGGGGCTGCCCTGAAAGGGAAAGATGTTGGTTTCAAGATCTGTCACAGTAATCAAATGATTGATCTTTGTGTGTCTGTAGAGATGACTTGAAGTGATCAAGACATCATGCAGGGTTGGAAAAACACATTGACTCACCAATCAAATTTGACAAGCATTAAACTGTTTACAGACGTATGTACAGTTTAAGTTTTCAGCCTGATGAAGATCCATCATCAGACATGTAGAACTTTAGATTTAATGTGGTTATAGCTTAACCCCATGTCGGTGTTGGCTACGTTTTCATGGAAAATGAGAAGAATTCCTTAGCAAGTTCTTTATATCCATGCATCCATCCATCCATTTTCTTCCACTTATCTGGGGTCAGGTCATGGGGTTAGCAGCTTAAGTAGGGAGGCCCAGACTTCCCTCTCCCCAGCCACTTTGTCCAGCTCTTCCGGGGGAATCCTGAGGCGTTCCCAGGCCAGCCGAGAAACATAGTCCCGCCAGCGTGTCCTGGGTCTTCCTCTGGGTCTCCTCCCGGTGGGACGTGTCTGGAACACCTCACCAGAGAGGCGTCCAGGAGGCATCCTAACCATAGATGAGGGTAGGAACATAGATCGACCCGTAAATCAAGAGCTTCACCTTTTGACTCAGCTTTCTCTTCACCAAGACAGACCGGTACAGCGCCCACTTCACTGCAGACACTGCACCTATCCGCCTATCAGTCTCTCACTCCTTTTTTCCCTCATTCGTGAACGAGACCCCGAGATACTTAGGGTGCATTCACACCAGCCCATTTTAATCTAACTCTAGTCCATTTGCCTAGAAAGTCCGATTCATTTGGGGAGATGTGAATGCGCAATCGAACTCTGATGCAGACTAAAAAAGCAAATTCTGGTCCGCCTAAATACCTAGGTCCGGTTTGGTTATAGTGAATTCTGGCGCGGTTTGAATGCAGTGTGAATGCAAGCGGACCGGAGACCGCTTCAAAACTAGGAAGTGGACTACAGCGCAGGACAATTAAACGAGCATTTCTCTTACCTCATATGGAGCCGCCTCAGCTGCCTTGTGTGAAAAACAACATTCTCCATGGTCTTCTGCCTCATTTCCTGCTCATGCTGAGTCCATTGTTGAAAAATGACAAAACAGAAATCCTAAAACCTCTAAAATTTGACGCCACTCTGTGTTTGTTTTTATTTCTTGAAGAAGACGAAGAAGAAGAAAAAAAAAGTGTCTTCTTCAGAGGTTTTTGTGTCGTTTCCTTCAGTAGTTCTTGGTGCAGCGCCACCACAGGCGAGGGGGGAACAGTTTGGCTCGACTGACTCAGTGCAGTGTGAATGTGAACCACACCAGCTGAACATGTAAACAAATGTTCTAATTTTTGGTCCCCAGTTGAACCGAGTCTACCGGACTACCAGGTGTGAAAACGATCTTAAACTCATCCACTCCTCCTCCACAAGTTCGTTATATTCTGTGTTTTTAATAAAAACAGTGAAAGTTGCTGTGTTGTTGTTTTGCAGTCATCATTCTGAGTTGATCTTTCTCAAATCGTGCTGATTTAATTGAAAATGTTGACACACGACCTGACGTCGTTGTATATTTTGGATGTGATAAAGTGCTCGTAAGTAGATGGAGCATGTGACACAGCAGACTCACACTCTCTGCTTACCTGAGGTGATGTGTGCTCGTTTCCGTTTTCACAAACAGAAGGTTTGTTTTATTTCTTTACCGTTTTGTTTCAACACTGAACTCAGTCAGACAAGTTAAAAGGATGAACACGAGGTTGTGTATGTGACTCTGGTCCAGTGGTCCTGTTTGAATTAGTACTGTGGTACTCCAGGGTGATGAGGCCTGATTGCTTTGCTCTGAAACTGATTGATTTTAAATTCAGACATTTGAAGTGAGGTTCTGTGGAAAACTTAAAACAGTTATCATCTTACCTGACGAACACATCTTAAAGAGAGTAACATCTAAAACTTACAAACCTCCTCAACTTTGTGTTACGTTGTAATTTTGGTAGAAATATCATTTTGCAAAAATCCTAAAGTGACCTCAAGCTGCACTTTTGATGCTGCTGGCACTGTGAACAAATAAATAATTTCACAAAGGAAACTATGTTACGATAAACAAAAGACAATTTAAAGGTTTCCAAAATATCACATGAACATCTATGAAACATCAGAGACCGACGTTGTTTTAATGTAGCTGTTATTCACTTTAGTCCTGGCTGCATTTGGACTAGCCGTTAGTTTACCAATCTGATCAGAATTAAACTTCATTTTCCACGCTTAGGCCAAGCAAATTCTTAAATATCCGCTTCAGGTAAGATATTATTTGTTCATAACTCTCCCACAGAGTCACCCTTGGAAAACTCTGAATTGTCCCTAAAGCAGAATCTTGAGTTATCTTCCATCTTTGTACGCATTTTGTTTTAGTTTGTTCAGTGGATCTGTTGAACTTTTCTCATGAACCTGAACCTGACATGTTTCTAACATGCCGCTCGTCCATGTGGAGGTTTGTTTTTGTGGATTCTGTCGAGGTGGACATACGATCTGGGGCATACAGGCGCTCATTGATGGCAGAGGAACAGCCTCCTCTGGCCAACTGATCCCAGCTGTTCACAGCTGTTTTTATGGATTGAAACAAAGGCATCTGCTGCTGGCCCAGTGGCCACGTCACACAGAACCACCCAGGGGCCACGCAGCACGTCAACCTGTGCATCAGTTTATTGTAAAGAATTAGGATTTAATTTAGAAACAAGACGTCAGCTTTTCTCGGTGATGAATCAGATTGGAACTTGACTTCTTTACTTTAAAGAGTGAATTCTTGTGTTTGCAGGTGACCCAGGTTCCCATTGAGTCCTGCGAGCAGTACGAGACCTGTGGGGAGTGTCTGAGCTCCGGGGACCCCCACTGTGGCTGGTGTGTCCTGCACAATGTGTGAGTACCCGTCAGGCACCATCACGCCTGCTCCCACGTCTTATTTTCTTTGACTTCTCCTAAAATTGCAGTTTCAAATCTCCCAGTTCCCGCCCACATGAAGCATCCAGACTCTGTTTCTCCAGCGTTTATCTCAGATGCGATGGAGTTTGAGGAAAGAAGACAGCGTCTGGGTTTGAAATAGAAAGCGGTGCCTCAGAGGAGCCGAGCCGCAGCCGAACAGGCTCTGACATGACTTGAATGATCCTCTCTGCCTGTGCACCGTGATGGGCCAGGTTTAAAAAGACAGCGGCCTGTCAGGTTTACAAGACTGACCAGTAGGAAAGTTTGGGGAGATTTACTTCCACTCCTAGAATAAGCAGAGTGACACCTGCTGGAGGTGAACATGTACTGCAGAAAAGTTCCCCCTAACCAGTCAGACAGAAAGAGGGAAACCAGCAACACCAGCAGCACATGCAACACATCTCCTTAAATACTGAGGATGAAGCTTTGTGTTGCATTTGACAGTGAAACTATCCACCTTCCTCTCAGCCACAGTCAAAAAGCAAATGTCGAGCTATATTTTTTCATGTTTGCGTGTACATATGTCTGTTACCAAAATATCTCATAAACCACTGGACAAATTTAAATTGAACTTGCAGGGATATAATCCCTGGATGTACATTTACAACTGATTAACATTTAAGAGCCAAACCTGTTTAAGATGGCCATCACAGCTAACTGGTCCCAGAGGACACAGCATGAGTATGGTTCTGTTAGTTTTAAAGACATTTCTCCAGTTTCTGTTGCACATGCTCCAAGTGTCATCTGTTGTGTGACATCTTTGCTTAAAACTTTGGCGTTAACTGGTGGAGTCCACCCTCACGGGGGTCACTGGTGCCCATGTCCAGCAGTCACTGTGTGAGAGGCGAGAGACACCCTGGACTGGTCTTCAGTCCATCACAGGGACACATAGAGACACACAGAGACAAACAACCATTCACTGTCTCACTCACACCTAGAGACAGTTCAGAGTTACCAGTCAGTCTAACATGCATGTTTTTGGTCTGTGGGAGGAAACTGGAGTACCTGGAGAAAACCCACACAGCACGGAGAGAACATGAACTCCACCCAGAAAGGCCCCCAGCCAGGATTCGATTCAGTGACCTTCTTGCTGAGAGGCAACAGCTCTAACAAATAACCCACTGTGCCACCTACCTTGTTTGTCTGTTAGCAAAATATCTGGATTTCAATATATCGATCAGAAGATTTTTGGAGTGACAGTTATCCCTGAATAACTTGGTGCCAATCAAATTCAAGATGGCCACCTCAGCTAATCACATTAACAAGCAAATGTTATCTTTGTTGGCCTTGAGCTAAAATTTGATGTGGTAGTAGCTGAGAGTCATACTTAAACATCTATTGCATAAGATTGCACATGACGCTATTTTTAAGACTTGACCAAAACTACTATAACAGTCGTCTCTCGTCATTAGCTGGTTTCAGTCTGACACTCAGGAGTGAAGGGCGGCGGGCGATATGCATTCCTCCAGGAATACTCTGCCCTTTGTCTTCAGTCTTTTCTTCCTCGTGTGCGTCCTCTCCTAAATGCAGATTTCTCTCTAAAGGTAAAGCTGAATATTTGCATGTGTCAGAGCGTTGCTGCAATTATCATTATGAGGATGGCGGCCCCAGCAAAGTGCACTTAAAGTAATTTACACCACTCCAGCGCCGGGACAGGACAAATAATTGCCTAGCGACAAGGTAATTCAGCGTGTTGTCTCTGAGGAGAGGACTGACTGGGGCTCCGTGACCCCTGCAGACTGCGTGCCGTCACACAGGGTCATTACAGCTTCAGGCTCCTGATCACATGCTGCTGTGTAGGTGCGGCAGGAAGAGGGAGTCAGTTTCATCTGAATCACCACCATGAAGAACAAGTTGGGACTGAAAGCTGAATGGTTTTTGGAACTGTGTTAGCAAAACAAATAAAACTACAAAACATGCTGTTGTGTAAAAACAGTGTAGGTGTGAGGGCTCTTCCATGTGTATGCATGCACACATGCGTGTGGGGTCAGTGTTTTGTGCATGTTGGCTTTACTGCAGGTGGAAAAGGTCAGCATCCTGATTTACGTTCGATCAGCCATCTGTTGGCTCAACCCAGGACCTTTGTGCACCTGTCTCTGGTCCTGATCCCCCCATCTCTACACTGACCCGGCACCGAGTGTGGCCGGACCCCCGTCAGCTCCGGCAGAGTTACTGCCGCGAGGACATGAAGTGAGAAGAAGAATAAGGAGCTCAACGCTCTGCTGCTTTTGTGGGCCTCCATATGTCTGCAGACATCTGAAAGAGCTGCCTGTGACTGCTGGACGTTTTGGATTTGATGCTTTGTATGATGTTTTATGGAAATAAAAATAAAAAATTAAGGTACTTTATACTTTGTCACATCTTGAACAGTTTATTTATAAGAGAATAATTTATTGACCAAATTAGTTAAACACCCTAATTGAAAAGAGACTAGACCAGGGGTCTGCAACCTGCGGCTCTGGAGCCACGTGTGGCTCTTTGGTTCTTCTGCAGCGGCTCGTTCAATCTTTGACCAAAACTAACAAAACTGAATTTTATTGGTTGTTATTCAAACAACAGAAAAGGACTAGTTTAACATTTTTTCTGTCATTTATTTTGCTGGAACATGCACAAGGAGTAAAACATACTCATTTTAACTTCATGTTTTATTTTTATACTTATTTTTCCACTATAAAAAAATACATAGGTCTGCATGTATTTTTTATAAATTAAAAACTACCACTACCACCCACACAAGAATATGGTCTTTTCATTTGTCTTAAATTGTAAAAATCTAAATTATTAGATATTTTTAGCTTTATAATGTCACCCCTAATGGCCACAAAAGCCCCTCCAACAAACCTAAAGTGGCCCACGGGCCACCAGTTGATGATCACAGTTGTAGTATGTTGTTGCGGCTCTGTACACTTTTAATTTAGTGAACAAAGGCGTAAAATGGCTCTTTTGATGGTAAAGGTTGCAGAGCCCTGGACAAGACATTACAAGAACAGAAGAAAAATACGCCAGAAAACGCGTTGATGTTGTTTCTATTTATAAATGGTAAATGGACTGTACTTATATAGCGCCTTTCTATTGTATTTCAAGATACTCAAAGCGCTTTACACTACAACCTGTGCCTCATTTACCCATTCATACAGCACTCTATTAGATCTCTGCAAAGCTAATTGAACAAATCATTCTAAAAAGACTAATCAGAGCTTTATCACATTCATACACTGATGTTACACACATCAGAGGCTATGAGGGGTTCAGTGTCTTGCCCAGGGACACTTTGGCATGTACAGTAACTGCTGGTGGATTTGAACTTCCAACTCTTGCATTGGAGGACGACTGCTCTAACCACTCAGCCACAGCCGCCCCTTTTATGAAGGAAGTTTCTGCAGCTTCACACACAGGCGAGCAGAGAGGTCCCAGAGAAAACACATCATGTTACTTTTCCTTCAGATAGTGATGACTGTGTGACTTCAGTCACAACTTACATTTCTCTGTTTGTCATTGAAAATTGAATAACTCAGTACAGAAACAAAGATGTTGCTTGTTGTATTAGCCTAAATAAACAGAAACGCCCAAATAAAATACTTTTCTTCTTTCGGCTGCTCCCTTCTTCAGGGGTCGCCACAGTGAACTAAGTCACACGAAGACTTGACATTTGTTTTTTATGCTGGATGTCCTTCCTGACACAACCACAGACCACCGAGCTACCACAGCCCTCTGTGTGGAGCAGAGAGCTGCTATCCAGGGTGCCCAGGGGAGCAGGTGGTGGGGGTTAAGGGCCTTGTTCAAGAGCCCAGAGTGGGACGAATGAGGGTGGAGGCAGGTGTGAGTGCTTCACCTTTTCCACTCACATTTTGATGTTGTTGGCACGAGGGTTGAACCAGTGACCTTCTGATCACAAGCTCACCTTCTCTAACCACTGCGCCTTAAACCCTAAAATGAATACAACTTTATAAAACTTTGAAAAATCAATCAATCAATCAATCAGTCAATCAATCAATCAATCAATCAATCAATCAATCCATCAGTAAACAGACCAAGGCTTGCCTTGTCTTGACTGTTTGGTTAAAAAATAGTGAACCCCTGTTTTGTGCAAAAAGTGAATTTATGTAATATTATTTGTAATCAAAGTTTAATCTTAGAAAAGTTTGCACGATAAAGTTTTGTTTAAGATACAATTTGTTGCTTTTCCTTTTTTATTCCTGTCTTGGCTGGAAACACAAAGTTTACTGAAGTGTTGAAAAGTCACAGCGTCAGAATCTTAATTTTTTTTTTTGTAAAACCATTTTCTACAGTTTCAATGCCTAACCATAACCCCCCACCCCCAGTCTGTATCACCAGACCTGTTTTTAGAAATTGTCATTCAGTCAGGCAAGAAAAAAAAGCATTTTTTTTTTTTTTATAATTTTTTAAAGCACTGATTGGTTGAACATTTTATCTGACTGACCCAGTCAGTCGTGGTGTGTCTAACAGAGAACAAAAGCCCATCAAGCTAACAGGCTGCAAGAGTTAGCATGTTAGCCTTCTGATAGCTTGTTACAGGCACTGTTGGATTTTATAACAACATTACTGTGGTGTTATTTGATAGTATGATTATTTCATTTTCTAAAGTAAAAACAAAATAAATACCATATATACTTTTTAGACACTTGTCTAAAGGTGCACATATTAAAGTATAGTCTTTGTCAGTTTGTAAACTTTTTGCTGTCCTGCCCAAAACTTCTGATCCACTCAGGAAAATGGAATGAAACATGATACACATAGACATCAAATCTAGACAAAATGTCCCGTGAATGTTTTTTTAACCCCATATTCAAGGTCAAGGTCAAAATCAAGGTCAACGTTAAATCAAGTTCTTTGTTTGTTCCTCCCACAACTTCTGATCGACTCAAGATCACTTAACAAAACTTCAT